TAGATTTTCTGCACATTTACATTACGTTTTCTTATACTAGTATAAGAGAAAGTTAAGTAAAAGTAAAATTACAAAGTTATGTATGTTATTATGTATATACGAATGAGAAAGTAAAATTGGATTCCAACATGGCTTGCTATTTATTGTCTCAGTGATATCTTAACGGCAATTTTTTTCTTAACAACTTATTATGCATAAGTTTGAGAGTATCTGAAGCTTTATTTCACCATTGCCTTTTTTTGTGTGACAATAATGTATGTTCTTGCAGACGTTAAGTTACATTTTATTGCTTTGAAGTTGAACGAATTAGTGTAGCTTTTAGCCACCTTTGAAATGATTGAAAGAAACAAATCAATTGTTATTAAAATTATTCAATGGAAAATCTCGTATTTCAATTCTGCTGAAAAGTATTAAAACCATCAATTATATTTCAAAGGAATAAATATTTTTACCTGAAAATAGAACAATGGTGTCAATGTAATTAATATCCCAGTAATATGTCTTGTATATATCAGGCAAATTTGCGTTGAAACTAACAACTTTAAAATGCGTAGAATTAGTATGGAAAACATGCCATTGACTTACTATTTACAAACAATAAGCCTACGAAGTTTTGTAATTGATAAAGCATTTTTTATGAGTACACAGATCAAGTTGAGGAGCGTTACAGAATCTTGATTTCTTCATGAAAAGTAAATCTGTATGGTACGAAGTTCTAACAAACTAGTGTTCGGCGTAGCTTGAGAAGAATTCTTCAGATGAAAAACATGTCGAAAGCAAATAAGCTAAAAAGATCGATTAATTAGCAGTCTACGAACATTCCGCACGTGATCGGCACTGTTAGTGAGCTGAGACCGCAATCGTGTTTGGACGCCGCCGCTTGGTAAATCCCACGAGGTGGAGGCGGCGGTGGCGACGGCTGCGGCTGCGGCGGAGGCGGCGGCGGCGGAGGCGGAGGTAGTGGTGATGGTAACGGTGACGGTGGCGGAAGCGTAGGTAGTGGTGGCGGAGGCGGAGGTAGTGGTGGCGGTGACGGTGACGGTGGCAGAGTCGGCGGCAGAGGGGAAGGCGGTGGCGGTGGCAGTGGCAGCAGCAGTGGTGGCGAAGTACTATTGTTCAGAATGAAAAACAGAAAGAAGAAAAAAAGGAGAGGGCGGCCGAAAATATAAAAATCTCCGATTATCCTGGACGAGCTCTATGTGCATAAGAGGATGAGACAATTAATGCTCGGCCTGTTAATTCCAATAGTAATTTATGCACCAATCGCAAGTGCTAAAATAGAAATACTATATTGTGGGTATAAAATGATTTTTAATGAAAAGAGCTGTTGTACATTCGTAACTTAATTAGTATGAATTTACACTTTTGTGTATCTTTCAATACTTCAAACTTACGTTTTTAATACAGATTTTGATATAAAATAATATTTACAATTTGATACAAAATTATTATTCATTTTATACAACTGCCTATTGAACACAGTACATTTTTGGTTTTTAAGATCTTTTTTGCGGCGGTGAAAAGGCATTTCAGAGCCTAAGTAAAAATCTACCGTTAATAAAACGAAATTCGCCTCTGAAGTTTCGAAGATCGGGATATCCTAAGATCTGGACCCGACGGTGTAGAACTTCCGAAACCAGGGAACACTTTCCTTTACTTTTGCCATCTATGGAGTCAACTTTTACCACGGGTTAAAAACCCTTTCATGTATCCAGTTTCTTTAAGTTAAGCGTGGAATATGATTCATTGATTGTTAGTAATTCAGGGCACGTCAACTGCCACGGTCATTAGTTCATAAATGTAGCGCATGTTTTCTCCTCGGGAGGTAGGGATGATTTCCCCCCGCTGGATAGCAATATCCGGCGCCACCCAACAGTCGGCTAAAGGGGATTTCCCCAACCAAGTATCTCCCGCCAGCGGGGCACCGCCCCAGCCGGTACCGGCTCTAAGCTCCCTACCGATCTCCCGGCATGTGTGGTAGTGTAGGGCATTTTAATGTACGTGAGGGGATGAGGATAGGACAAGGAAGAGGAGGAAAGATTACGCGCGGCGATTGTTAGAGTACTTCATTCGCCTGTTGTTCGGAGAAACCACACAAACCTACCGATCAGAGCAGCCGGCCGCCAGAATTCTCCTTCAGGCAGCGACTGAATTCGACTTACCTAACAATTACTGAGAAAAGAGGATTCCAATATCGGTTGACTTCATGATACTAATTAAAGAATCTGTTAGCCGGCCTTCTGCACAGATATTGATAACAAGTGTGATAGTGAACATAAAATTTGTCAATTTTTTCGACTTTGAAACCATTGTGCTGTAATATGGAAGGCGGGATAGAGTAGGCGGTGGCGGAGGGAGTGGCGGTGGTGGTGGTGATGGCGTCGGCGATGGTGACGCTGAAGAGAAAGGAGACCAGGAAAACGTGGCGACGTTGCCGCCACCGCACAGTTTCCTTTCTGTCACCTAAAAGCCACATTTTCCCCTGACGACTGCCGTAATGGAAACGAACATCCTGATACACTGTCGAGCCTTTGTGTATGCTGTCAGCTACGACGTGCGTGTTCGAAAGATAGTTTCGACGTGACGAACAAGTTTTCGTACGACGCAAGCGACTGAAACAGCCGTATCATTTGTAACGATTCCGCAGTTTTGATGATTCCCATAGTAAAGAAGTGTGAATATCGAATTTTCGGAGGTACCATACCACCCTTAATCATTGCTGTACATTGATCATTTTCAATTATTTTCTTGAGAATTAAGTCTAAGATTTAACATGTGACAATTATGATGATTAACTTAGCTCTGTGTAAGGGAGAGTAAACATTTGAGGCGAACTATATTTAATATTGAAAGATTTAGTAGAAGAGTGTTTTTCACCATCAATTTGTGAATCATATTGATCGAATATATTTCCTCCATTACCACTGCCAACCCTTTATCTCTACCTCCATCTATGAATGACGCTTCCGTTTCTTCCTGCATTAGTTTTCCTTCACTTTCCCTCCACAACCGTTATCAACGTGCTTTTGATGGTGACCCCTCAGCCAACAAAATGCCGCCCAAGTTAGAAACTTAGCGCCCAGTATTGCCAGAGATGGCCAACTTACTACTCCCCAAGGGCCACTTTTTTGTTTTAAACGAAGGAGAGGGCCGCAAAATTAATACCAAGAGTTACGCCTACATACAAATCTAAGAACAAAAGTTATGTAAAATACCATTACAATACAATGTCTAGTCCAATAATCAAATGAAGTAAGGATAATAATAAATATTTTAGTTTCATTTTATTTAAGTTATTCGTTCAAAAAACAAAGTCAATACTATTAGACCTACGCATACAAAAAATAGCATGGCAAAATATTAAAAACAACAACAACAACAGAAATACGATTTCTTACCAACTGCTACTACTAGCTCTCTGTGGCTAACATTAATGAAAAACCGTAGAAAGGTTGTAAGTGAGAATACTGTGGGCGGTCACAATCTATCAAAGTTTATTTGTATTGAAGTAGTTGCTGATTTCAGCAGGACATGAAGATGGTTGTCTCTTATTATAGTCTGTTACGGTGTGTTGATTATATGAACATCATTGTCGAAAGTGCTCTCACAAATGTATGTGCTTTCAATTATAGATTGTAGTTTCTGGTGAAGTCCCGTTCTGGTGATGTTTCTCTTCTGGCACTAGTCTTCAAAATGCAATGAAAACTGAACTGAAAAAATGGTCGCTTTGCAAATTACAGTCTTGGCTCCTAATCAGATTTACGAAAATTCTGCACATTTGTTTGAAGAATAAAATATTTCCATCAAATATTTTTTTTAATCTGTTGCGGGTCGCATAAATAAAAGTCGTGGGTAGAAGGCCGCCAGTTGACCATCTTGAGCCTGTACGGTACTTTGTTTCAAACTTCTTTGTAGTGTTACCAGGTGCGGACGATCAAGCTCAGCTATAGTGACTGTATTTCCCGGTAAAAATCCGCTGGAATTTTCAAAAATCGCGAAAAACCCCTGTAAAATTCCGCTAATAGCTAATAAAAATGACAACATAAAGAAACGTATTTCAGCAAAAATTGTAATATCAAATAGAAAAATAATTTTAAAATGATCATATAATACGTAAAATTTGATTGAGATTGATTAGCTTATTTCAAAGATTTGACAGTCGGCTGGCTAATGGACTGCGAATTAGCTATCCATGGTGCGATCCCGGGTTCGATTCCCTGACGGGGCAAAATAGAGCTATAGTTTTCCATTACAACTGTCTCAGTGTCTACAAGCTGTGTGACGAAAGGAAAGCTCAGGCATGCCAAGAAGCACGCTACATACGCGATACGGTCGTGGGAGTACGTCATGCTTACCATGCCCCCCCCCCCCTGGGCGGGAATAATACGGAGGAACGGGGCGTTGAATCCAGAAAGCCCGTTTAACCCATGGGCGAAACCAGATAAATTTGGGGAGGGGAAATTAAAAAAAATGTTTTGGTCGAATGTGTCATTACACATTTTTAAAATGTCCCAGCTCATGCTGCGATACGATTTTATTCGTTTTAATGATCATCAGGAAATATGTTTGCTTGTAAGTTTCGTGACGAGTTAAAATTTATAGTATTTACTGAAAAACTTAAGGGAGGGGGGGGGGCAATTTTCCTCCCGTGGATCCGCGCCTGGATTAATCCGACCCTAAAATGCTAAAAACATACTAACACAGATTTACAATCTTCAATCTAGCATACAATAATACGTTAAATGAACGTAGATTAAAATTATGCAAAAATTTAGTTTCAAGGAAAGGTAAATTTTAACAATTTAAAACAAGTTTAACAGTTTAAAGGAGTGAGTCTTATCTTAAAATATATTAAAGGGAATAATATGGGTACCAACAATTTTATTCAACATCAAATAGGTTTCGCATTTAATAGCTCAGCATGCCGGTTGCACCTCCGGGAGACGCGCAATGTTGTCCCCGTGTACGTGTAAGCACAATGCCACCTGCTACGCGCAGCGAATCTGCCGGCGGCGCCACCTCCCCCCTCCCTCCGCCGGACTCATCCCCCGCTCCGGCGCGCGCGGACTGAGGTCCGCCAAGGCCAGGCAGGGGCCGCGCGGCGCGGCGCTCGCCGCCGCTCGCCGCCCGCTCAGTGCCATGTCTGCCGCCCGCCGCCGCTGTGTCCGCGCCCCGCTGCTCCGGCTCGCGCCGCCGCCGTCGCCGCAGCCGCCGGGCTGCTCTTCTGCCTGCGCGGGGCGCCGCAGTCGCCGCCGCCGCCGCAGACGCCGCTGCTGACTCTCCCAGCGCCAGCGGCCCGTGCAGCCCACCACCTCGACGACGCCGCTGCCCGACAACGTCCAGCAGAGCTCGTGGGCCCCGTGCGAGTGCGCGCAGGGCCCGTGCGTTTGCGTCATGTACTACCTCTGCAATCTGGCCACCAACAGCGTCTACATCTACGGGGAGGACGTGCTGGACGAGAGGTGAGTACTCCCCCCACCCCCCGCGCTCACTTGGTCCCGACGCGGTGAACAGTGGGCCGGTAAAGGGCTTTGAAGACGGTTAAGGCAGGCTTGCGGGAGCGGAGACCTCGCAACGACCGGAGTCGGTAGCTGCTGGGCCCGGAGAGGCCGCGTCCTAGACAAAAGTCCAAACTGTTTGTGTGCCATTCTGTGACCTTCCTTAGGGCGAAATGGGCACGTGGGAACCTGTGTTTGAGACGCTGCGTCTCCCGGACAGTCAAGCTGCTAAAGCAGTTGGCTCGACAGTTGTGAAAACTGTTGCTATTTGTAACTGCCTCGTTGGCACATTGGGATAGCTCAAAAATTGGTGCGCTGCGCGCTAGTGAAGCCTGCTGTGACCGTGTATGGGACATTTAAAGGACTCAATCCGCTCTGAAGCAAGGATTGTGGCTCGTGCCGATTTGTGAAGATGCCGCACTCGGCTTTTTTTTTCGCCGACGCTGCCTCTAAATTGTTCCTACACTAGAGAAACCGCAAGTTATTTTTTTTTTCGATTTTTCCCCCTGAAATGTTAAATTGTCGCCAGAAGCGAGGACGTGATTGGCTAGGAGAGCTCCCTTTCTCGGGACCCTGCGCGGAGAATAGCGAGGCCAATGAAGAGTGGTGTAAGTGTTTTGTCTAGGCAGGCTGGACGAGCCTGCGAGGCGTCGCCACTTCTATACTAGGATTATTTAACCGTGCACTCGATTTAAATCGGCTGTCCACGGTTTCATCCAATCAAGAGCTTGAACGTTCCCGCAGTGACAGTCACTGTAGCTACATATAAGCTTCCGATAGGATGAACCCGCAACAGCTGATTTACGAGTAGTGCACGACTAAATAAATCGTACTATAACTTGTTGATCGCCAGTTGTATAATCCGTATGCTACCCGCATGTTTCAGCGTGTAAGAGTTCGATTCTCTCAAGCGAGGCTTAAAAACCGTGATCATGCCGGTTGTAAGGTGCCCTCGCGGCGTAATTTGTCTCCGGAGTTTCCAAGGGAACCACAATTTCTTCTTGGGAAAGAGAAAAAAAAAACTTTTTTCTGAAATAATAGTTCAAACAGTTGTCAAAAGCGAGTACTTGCTCGATGGGAACAGGGATTCCCCCCCCCCCACCGGGCTATTGCGGCGATTTGTAAAAGCAGGATTGGCGAGCTGGTTGTAACACAATGGCTGCTTCTGCCTCCATGATCTCCCGGTGGATCGTAAAGTTTTGCAATTGAAGGCGAATCAATCCTAGCTTGACCATTATGACCCGTTCCTCTGGCACGCGAGGCGCGATGTTTCCACACTGGCGCAATCGCAACAACAAGATTGCATTTCGAATGTAGGGTCTTATCCTTTATCGTTACGAACGAGATAGAATTGGCTCACTTGCACGAGAACAAAACATCACCGCACCGCACCAGTGCGAGCGTAAGACTAGAAATTTGAAAGGCACTGTGATGCTTTGCTGCAAGTGTCCAACAAAACGAAGAGGCTCCAACTTTCGCGATTGAATAACAACCATGAATCAGGGGTAGATCCAGAAACTAATTTTGGGAGGAGACATTTTTTGTATTCAATGGTTTGGTCGAATGGGTCATATTACAGATAAAGTAAAATGATGGGGATAAACTCAGCTCACATGCGATACAGTTTATATGAACATATTATTTGTTTGAAATTCTCCTTTTAAGTTAAAATTAAGTTGCTGAAAAATTTGGGGAGTTGAAATTTTCCTCATTTCCATCAACGTGGATTCACGCCTGTGTGACTGTCCAACAAATAAGCCCCAATGCATTTTATGTCAAAGCACTTTTTGGCTGAACCCTTAACTTCACATGTTGACCCTTGCTATGAGTGTCGAAGTTGGGTGATGAGATTCCTACCTACAGCCTTTGCTGTTAATACGAAACATCCTTGATCCCGTGCAAAGCATTATGTCAAATGGTCTCTCAAACTACTTAAACAAAATTACCTTCTTCCCACCTCTCTTTAATCGCTTCCCTTCTCCGCTCGCGCGATATCTGAATAGGGTACACAAGGAGAAGCCCCCCACACTTTTTCTCTCTCGTAAAATTCTGAAGAGGAGTTGGGTGCAGGAAGAGTCTCGAAGTGCCACGTGGAGTGTAGCTAACCTTTGAACGTCAAAGAAGAGGGAAGGCGTTTGGGACGCAAGGTTAAGCCTGCTAGATGGGTCGCAGAACTTTTGAGTCTCCAAAAACAAATTTAAAGCACACATACTTTTTTACGAAACTGTCATAGCCAAACATGACACCAATCACTGACACTATCAAGACACGTGAGATCTAAAAGTAAATATTAAATGTAATAGGGCGAAAGTTTCTCGTGACTTGTGCATCGCATCTTGAGAAAGTTAATTTAAACACTTGACATAGTGTTTATGAGAAGAAAAAATGGGGCGATGGTTTGTGTTATGGTTCAGTCTGCGATTTCGTTGTAAATTAGAGAAGAAAGTTCCAATGCCACTAAGTTTTTAAGGCTGTATACTTTCAACATTTTATTTCAATTATTAGATATATCCGATTAGTGCTTTTACCATTCTTTTTAACGTGAATTGAATGCATTATGAAAAATTCACATTTTATCGAGTTTTCTTTTTGGTTGTTTCGTGAACGACATTTTAGACAGTTTTCGCTGTCGTGTCACATTCATAAATACAGTGTAAAATCCCAAATTTGGAAGGAAGGTATCGCAAGTGGATACCGGTAGAGATGAAAGCATTTTCAGAAACATTGACTTTTCCCCCTTTCTTATTTCTTGTTCGGCCAGAAAGCCTTTCAAGGCCTTGAATACAATTTAATTAATACTCCCTATAGGTTTTGGCACCATCGCTAATTGTAAACTCATTTCACCATCACTAATTTTGGTAGTTCAAAATAGTTGTTTAATTTGAAAGATTGCTGTGAAGGATGTCTGAAATAAATATTTGCTTTTACCCAATTGTGATAAACTTTACTCTCTGAATCAGTTGACTAGCGCGCAATACCTGCATTTCAACCGCCAGCGAATACTTCACACAAGTTTCTTAAACAAATTTTCGAGATGTGCGATTATTTGCAGACAATAAACGTTATTGGATATCTTAAATTCGGGTAAACGTTCTTTACGGTCTTGCTCGTTTTTCTTTTGAGTTAACCTTTGAGACATAGTTTAAGAGGTAGAGGGCGTTGAGTTTTCTTGGGCAAGTTATTGCTTGCAGATTCCTCCACTTTTAAAAGGACTGTCAATACTCGCACATGTTAACGAATAAATTCACAATCTCGGTCAGTCTTTAGAATTAACATCCTAACACAGTAATGGAGTAACCACTGTCTGTCCGTCACACACTGTTAGAGGTCTTCCGGGTCAAGGGTCGAGTCAACGAGGTGTCATTCTACGCGTCTGGGTCTCCTGGCGGAAAACTGATAATTTTATGCGGGGTCTATCCCGAAGATTCTAAGAAATTTCTCCAAATAGTAATTTAAGTAATAAGAGCCCCAAACAGGTGAACGCGAGGTGGAAGGGCCGAACTTGTCATCAGAGCGTAGCGCGGACGACTGGGACGTGTGCGGGAATCACCTCGCGCTCTTATTGCGTATACTATTTTTAACAGGCCATGAGCGAAACTCAATGCGGCAAGAAAAAGAATGTAAATTAAATATCAAAAAACTAAAAAAACTTAGTTGTACAAATGTCAATGGATTCCAGTCAGTGTCGTAACTCTATTGTTTGTAAATAATAAACAAAGACGTCGTCAAGACGAAAGACAGTTGCGGATCATTACAGATGTTTCGCACAAGCTTCTCGATGTTCTGCTCAAAGGGGGAAAATCTGTTTCGCACACGGAAAACAAGCAAAAAGCAGAGATTCCAGCGTAAAAAAAGTTTTTATGACAGTAAAACATGTTTAGGGGGACTTATTGGACCTACAAATGTGATAAATTGCTCGTTCGATTAGTTTCGACATCGATTGGTACAATCATTAGCATTTGCGAGTATAATGTCATAGAATAGTTTTAAGTATTGTGAGAGCAGACAAACGAGGATCGTTGAAGATAGAAGGGAGAATAAAGTAGAAGGTAGTTAAAGAATGTAGTATGAAGGAAATTAATGTTTAAAAGAAACGGAAAAAATGATTTAAGTGAACGTTACAAATAAGATGTTCTATTGACTATTCCACTGGTGAAATTAAAAAAGTATTGGGGTGGTGTATCTAAAAAAAAAAAGTATCGATTTTTTGTATCAGATTTTTCTTACTGCCCCTACCCACTGGCAAATAATAAGCTGTGAATAGTCTATCTTACGTGATACGAATAGATTGATATGTTGATGTGCAATAAACCGCGTATGTACTACAACACAACCTCTTTGATTTTAACACAGTTTCAGTGATTTTCAATTAAGACTCATTTTGGAACACTGTTGGTCGTAATTTCGTTCGTGGGATACTCCTATTACATACCACTCGTGCATTGGAAATTATCAGATAATTCCCTTCCTCGATTCGCGAGTGAAATATTCTTAGATACGAAAAGGAAGAGAGAATAGCATCGTCAGCAAGAAAAAATACAATAGAAGTTTACAAGATTTGGTTTCAATGCAACAAAGACTACATTGGTGCCACATTCTGAAATGCTAGTCGTAATGAAATACACAAAAATCCTCTATGTGGTTCAAAGTACTCGTAAATAGGCGCGTCAGGCAACTGTAACGTGTTCAAAATTATTTTTATTACGAACTTTCAAAGCGCAACTGAAACGTTTCGACCTGAAAAATCCTCGCCCGGGGCTCCACTCTAAGCCATTTTATGGTAACAGGTTTCATCCGCAGTGTTTTATTTTTTTTCGCCTGCGGCTGTCTTTTGGCTCATTTCGGAATAGTGCGCCGCGCCGCGCCGTGACGTGACGCGGCGCGGTACGAGGCATCCGAAGGTGAAGGTCGAGGCCGGAGGAAGGCTCGGCGATGTTGGCTTCGGTGGCCACGCGGGACGTGGC